GAACATAAAATAGCTTTAGCCATAAAATAGAAGTAAAAAACCCAAAACATAACCAGCTTAAATAAATCAGTTTTCATAGATGCACTTGCTATTTCTTTCTACTAGTTGTTTATATTTCATATTTGCACTTTTTTTTTTTTTAAAACTGTATTTTAATATGTTGTCTAATTGTGTGAGGATCGCTTCTTCATTTCATCGTTTGCTCTGCAGCGACAACAACGAACGAATTCTGCTCTGTTCGATACTAAATCTCCATTTTACAGGTTTATTCGTGGGGGTTTGGTGGATTCTAACACTAACCTGGTGTCTCTTGTTTCCTTCAGGTGGCACATCTGTACCCGGGAACATCTGAGGACAATCGGTGTGGTGATATCCGCTGAAGTCTGCTGGAGCAGCCCCACCAACACACCCTGCATTCAAACGAAGCCGCTCTTCCACTCGTGACTGACAACCACAGCGTACCTGACAGACAGACCTTTTTTTTTCTACCTCTTGTTGCGTCTCTGCTTGTCAAGAGAAGCGGTTTTTGAAGAGATCAACTCGAGTGAAAAACGGCGGAAGAGACTTATTTTGGCGTTTGACAGCTCTGACCCACTTATCGCGCTTTGCATTTCGCAGGCAGCAACAGAAAAAAAAGGTTATGCACTGTTTTGTATTCAGGGCCATCGATCGACTGACCTCCAGCTCTAATTAGCCACATGCAAACACTCGCGCACAAGCAGACGCACACACACCTGGTTGGCTGCAGATGCTTTAAATAGTGTTTGCAGCGCTGCCTCTCAGTTCAGTGACACAAACAGTGAAACAGCTGAACCCGACTGGGTGTTAGAAGTCCATCTGCACACTATTAACTCCCTCAGAGAACACTGACCTTGACAGTGTTTGGAGACACTGTGGGAGTGTGTGTGTGTGTGTGTTTGCATTAGCAGGAGGCGGCGTGTCCTGTCTGCTCTGATTCAGAGTGAGAATGAGAGCTGATGTGGCAAAGTGGCTCTGATAAATACAAAAAAAAAATCACCCGTCGCCTGAGGGTCGGCCACTCAAATAAGAAATTAGAGTTTTTTCCTGAAATGTGTCACGCAAAAGAGTATTAATTGAAGTGTGTGTGTGTGTGTGTCTGTCACATTGCCAGAGCAGATTAGGGCCGCACCTCTCTCGGTCATGTCACTTCGGCTGACCTAGATTTGACGAAATAAATCGGCCACCGGAGGAAAATGTGTGTTCAAGACCTGCTGCCGTCGTCGTCGTCGCAGTGCACACATCTTAGTCAAACACGCCCTCTGAAGTGAAGTGAAGTGAAGTGAAGCTCCGCAGCGCCGCCGAACCGACCTCAAGCCCACACGGAAAGGCTCCGCACCGTGAACCCGATGAACACCTTCCCTTCCTTCTCTGCGCCTCCGCCCAACGCACCAACCATCCAGTCAGTGTGTAAGCCCTGTCTGCGGGCCCCGTGGAGGATGAACGATGTGCCCACACTCGACTATGAGTTGCTGCTGTCCCCGGCCAGCTCCTCCCTCCCCGGCAGCCCTGGCGGCGGCAGCAGCAGCCCGCCCCTGGCCCTGGTCGGGGTGGACACCGAGCAGCGCACTGCCTTGGCCTTCGTAGGCCTCCTCATGCTCTTCCTGGTCTTCCTGCTGGTCAGGTGCTTCAGGATCCTGCTGGACCCCTACAGCCGCATGCCGGCATCATCCTGGACTGACCACAAGGAGGGGCTGGAGAGGGGTCAGTTTGATTATGCACTGGTGTAGGGCGGAGTGGGAACTCTGCACACGGACTTCCTGAAGCGGTTTAGAAGCGAAGACGGCGTGTTGTTGTGAATGCACCGTTGTTGGAGTGGTTTACATCACTGTGTACTAGTGTAAATACGAGGCTGCAGGACCGTCAGTAACCAGAACAAGCGTGGCTCAACACCCTGCAAGTCAAACACTCACCCGAACCCGGAGGTTGGCCCGTGAAGGACAGAAACAACGAGCTGCACAGCTGCCTTAACCTGACCTACTGTAACAGTCACCACAGAATCACTCCAGGGCTCCAGAGCTTGTCGCTTTTAGAAACACAATTTGATTTCAGGAGCAACATACGTTTGTTATCACTCCATGTGCAGGCAGAACACAAACGAAGGAGTTTACACTTAAAGCAGACGCCCCTTTAACGAACCAAGGTCCATTACAAAGTGCTGATCAAGGAGCACAGACTCTTTTTTTTGTTGTTGTTGTTGTGATTTCTGATCCTCGAGCAGCACTAGAGTTTAAGATGCTTTGAGCAGGTAGTTTGTCTCCATGAAATCTGTGTCCGTTTTGTGTGTTACTGTGTCTATAACTGAGAAGCCATATTGAAACTATATAACCCCTGCAAGTAGAGTTTACGTTCCCCGGTTGTGTCCTTTGCTGTAGTCGGCCTGCCGAGCGTGGTGATGAAGCAAACAGCAACCTTTAGGCAAGAGAAAGCTTTATTTTTCTATTCTCGACTCGAGTTTTGGAGTCTCCTTTTTGCTATCTTTTTCTCTCTTCCTCCTCCTGTATCGATCTTTAGACTGTGGATTTTTGAGGTAGTCTCGCAGCCCAGGAGGCAAAGCAGGTAGCTTTGCTTTTTCCTTGTGTTTTGTAATTACATATTTTTCTGACTCTCTGCTTTGTTTTTTGATACACTGGGTTGAAAACAGTGAAAAATAGCGAGATGTTCTCCTTCATAATTACTCTCCTCC